CCTAGTTTGCCAGTTCGATCTCCAGTTGTGGGAGAAGTCAAGATTCGATCTTGACATCAGTTCTTTGAGAAAGAATTGATAGGAAGCTGTGCTCACGTGCCATCCTGTTGTTTCTTGCGAAGGACAGAATTCTTGGAGAAGAATAATGCTGATTTTGCTCCATCCTGCACTGCGCCATCTTCAGTGGGAGCAGTCTTTGGATCATTCCTTAGGCGTGAACACCTTCGTTGGGAGATATTGTTTCTCCGTATCAAGTATAATCTTCTCCTACTACTTTTGGTTCAGATCTGGTTCAGTTTAGAGTTCAAGATTGATCCTTGAAAATATGATTTTCTAAACAGGGAATGCGATTCCTAATTGAAAGGGAGAGAAAAATTTTTGAAATTCGCTCTTTTATTCCGCAAGATTTGGGCGTCCATACGATGAATCTCTCATCCCTTCATAGCGTTGATGTTTATGTAATGTTTTCTCTATATTTATTATACAACTTTTCAAGTACAAACTTTGGACAAATGGGATTGGGTTTTATTCTATTCTTATTCGAAAGTCTTGGTCGAACTAAATAATTTATTTATGTTTTTTTAATAATTTCTATGTTTTTTGAAAAACAATCCCTATCTTTCCTTTATGAGACATATTTATGAAGTATTTGTTTACACCTACTTAATGCCACAATTGTTAATTATGTACACAGATGAATAAAAGGGGCCAAGTAAAAAAGTTCAACCTCAAGACCCTATATGTATGGATTATATAACAAAAAAAAGACTTTATATGCATGGGATATTTTGTATCAATAAGAAATATGATACACATAAGCTAAGTATAACATTAAATGATTATGATGTGGAAACACATTCTACATATTCTTGGCCACCTAGAAACCCTATGAGGAGAAAAAAAAAGAGCCTTTTAATCACTTGAGGGTAAATGTTCTTATGGAAGCACTATAGGACTAGACAACATAAAAGGATGCACCAAACATGACTTTCATTCACCTTGTTCATTTAGAGGAAGGATGGAACCTTATAGATACTCTTTTGTTGATCACGCTTTTATGATTAAAGTATAATTTAAGACAACATAAGCATGTCATTTAAAATAGATAATCATAAGGATGGAACCTTATTGTTAGTCTTTTGCTTATCACAATTCAAATGACATTGATAGTTGTGACAAGCACAAGGTCAAATTTTTTTGTTCAATCCTTTTCCAAAACTAGGGATCAAGAACCAAAGAATAAGATATTAGCAAAATTACATAAGAGAAAACTATCTTTGCTCCTCATGATTGACTTTGGGATTTGAACCAGATAAAATTAAATCCAAAACCAAGAGAAGGTTGAAACTTTACTTGATATAAGAGTCCTCACAAGTGCAAGAATGACTGGTGTTCACACCTAAGAATCTGGTCTACTCTCTCTAGCAATCTAATCAACTAAAGATGACACAACCTTTGGTATTGGAAAAGAAAATCCTTTGAAATTGCAACAGTGTTTGCATGACCAAAACACCTCTTTTAATGGTTGATTTCTACTATAGAAATCCCCAAAAATCCCATTTGAAATTTGGTTCAAAGTGGAGAACAATGGAGGAAAAAATAGAAATACAAATCTTGACCTAGAAGAAGAGCTAGGGTTTAGGGTTGAATAGTGTGCTTTACAAGGCCTAAACGTGTGTAGGGTATTTTCAGCCACTAGAGGTCTTTTTAAAGACTTGTATTAAGTCCCAAATATACCATAGAAAAGTCCTAATCGAATTGGGCTTTGGTTAGTTCCAAATAGAATACTAATCCAGCCTAAGTTTGATTAATCAAAACTAGTTAAGTTTCTAGTCGAACTAGAAGTCTTGCAATTTTGTTCTAAGCACTTCAATAGGTGTTTAGTTTCTCAAAGGACAAGAAAGAAGAAATAATACATTCTTGTATAGCATGGGACCTACATGCCAATTGGAACGAACCATTATTGATCCCTCTCACTCACTTTAAGTGAGTTGGGCCTACTAGACTGAATTCACCCTAATTAAAGTGTGAATTGTCTATCATGTTATGGGCTTGAACATTTCAAACCATTAGCATCTAATACTTAATTATTAGTATCAAATACTAATTACTTGGGCCTTAGCCTCCCTATGAGCCCAAGTCCAAAGGTCCTAACCCATTATATGTCCATTAGGGTTTTGGAGCTAATAAGACACTTGTTTTATGATCTCTCAACCATTAATACCTAACAATGGGATTTGGGAAAGGGCTAATTCCCTTAACACACAGCTAATGTCACGGCCTTTCATTAGTGAACCTTGGGAAAGAATTATTATGCAAACACCTTTCTCAAAATAAACTATTTATGAATACATACATACATACAAACATATGACTTTGTAAAAAACAATTTCATACAACCTTTGAAACCTACTACCAACAATTTTAACTTTCCACTCAAGAGGGCATGTTCGTAGATATTCTCGGTGTCCAACAAAGTGGTTAATCATATCATAATGATCACTTGCCCAGACACCCAACTTAATTGCTCCAATATATCTAAATGTTGATCCTTCAAGGATCTCACTAATTGGCATATCAAAAGCAAATTAGTTGGATATCCAGCTGAGTATCATTATCAAGTGAGGGATCACAAGCAACAATTTAGCTATTCCACCTATCAAAAAGTAGTGTAGGAATAATCTAAAGCTTGGTTTGATTCAATGTTTCAAGTAAATATCCATTACCACACTTTGGGTCACAACCCTGGCAAATGAAACAATCTACTCCATCACTTAGGTAGTGTGTGAATGTCAGCATTCTCTGTATTAGACTACCCAAGTTTATCCACTAATTAAGAATATTTAAAATGCATATTTAATATGGTGTTTCAAACATATTCCTATAATTTAGTTCAAGGGTTAATTACTAAAAAAGACAACACAATATATGAAATAACTATATTTTTATTCATAATAAATATCAATTACAAACAATATTAGACCCAAAGGCATACATTGTCCACTTGCACTTGATTCCATTTAGGTACAAGTTGTAGAACCATATTTTCCACATGTTCCTCAAATAATTATTGTTGTAGTGTTTTAGGTAATGGCTACATTTTCCTTTAACACTACCTTTTAAATCGCAACATCCCCACACTTCATGATCTTGGGAATGATGTGGTACTTATGCTCGATATATTTTGACTTTAAGTGTGCTCTAGGCTCTTTAGATGAAGCAATTACTTTATTTTGTCATACAATGGGGGGGAATAAAAGATGTATTATTAAGAACTAATCCTATCTATAGAATGAACCTTTTCATCCATATGGTCTCTTTGGCAGCCTTGCTCATGGAAATGTATTTGGCTTTGGTCGTAAAATCTCCCATTGACACTTGGTTGCTATTTTTCCAACATACAACCATTGAACCTAATAGGAAGATAAATCCAAATGATGACTTTCTATCATCTGGATTTGTTGAGAAATCGGCATTTGTATACCTCAAAACTTGTAATGCTTTACTCTTAAAGATAAGGTAATGATCCTTAATTCCTTGAAGGTATTTGAGTATATATTTTCATAGTATTTCAATGTCCCTTTCCAAAATTAAACTAGTATCTATTCACTTCATTTACAGCTTGTGCTATGTCAAGGTGAGTGCACAATATTGCATAGATGGAGCTCCCCACTATAGAGCCATGAGGTAACTTCTTCGTGTTCTCTACTTCCTCAGGTCTGATTGGTGACATGTCCTCGGAGAAAGTGACTTCATACCTAAAAGGTGCTAGACCCTTCTTAGGAGGCTTATCCTAGGTCTTTTATAAACAGCTTTTTTAATATCCACACCTTAACTTCAATTAACATTCACATATCATTTCCAATGAAAAGAACGGCATCTACATAAAGTATGAGAGAAATTGTCTTTCTCCTACTTCATGTACACATAGGATTCATCTTGGTTTTGATGAAAATTATACACTTTTAGTGGTGAATGAAACCTAATATTCCAACTTGCAGTTTTCTTTAACCCATATATGGATTTATTAAGCTTACACACTATTTCTTCCTAACCCTTAGCAACAAGGCCCTCCAATTATTGCATGAAGGTTTCTTTTGTATGATCTTCTTTCAAGAGTTCAATTTTAACATCCATTTGTCATATCTCATAGTCATAGTGTTTGGAAATGGCTAGTAAAATTCTAATGGATTTTAGCATGGCTATGAGTAAGAATGTTTTCTTATAGTTGATTCCTTATTTATAAGTGTAACCATAACCACAAGTTGAGCCTTATATGTTTCAACATTTCCATCAGGACCCCTCTTCATCTTGAAGATCTATTTGCAATTCATTGCGTTAACCCCTTAGAGTGGATCTATAAGAGTCCAGACTCCATTGGTTTTTATCAAGTCCATCTTAGCTATCATGGAATCTACCCACTTCTAGGGTTTTATGTTTAACAAAGATTTTGAATAAGTCAAAGGATTCTTCTCACTATCATTGAATTCCATCAAGAACTACATTTGATCATAGTTGTATCTAATAGGAGGTCAGAACACTTAGATAGATCTTCTTAACCATGGTGTAGAATCAATGATACATGTAGATGTTTGGGTCCCTCCCACTACATTAATGGTTTCCTCTTGAATATTTATTTCCTAATGAGGGTGGTCACTAAGAATGCAATCATTCTCCATGGAGTATGCATTTTTGCTAACAAATAGTCACTTCGTTGTTCAAGATTCTAGTTTGTCAACATTTATCTTTTCTTATTGCTAATAAAGACCTAAGTTTTCATGTGTAGGACATTTTGTTTCTAATGCATGACCTCAAACCACGTCTAATAGTGTCTAGTTCCATCTTTTGGATACATCATTTAGTTATGGGGTGGCTGAAGTAGTCAACTGTGAAATTATTTTGTTTTCCCTGAGGTGGTCCTTGAAGTTATATAGAGATACCTCATCAATTTAATCGAAGGGATTTGATCTCCCTAACTAGTTCCTTCTCAACTTCTTATCTAAATTCCTTAAACTTTTAAAGGATTCAGATTTGTGTTGCATCAAGTATAAGTACCCATACCGAGAAAAATCATTGGTAAATGTGATAAAGTAAACATATCCACTTTGCACCCTTGTGTTCGTGAAACCACATACATCTATGAATGATCTAACGTACCTGTGAATCTTTGGGATTTTTTGGTAAATGGCCTCTTAATCATTTTGCCTTGTAATCATAGTTTACAATATGGTAGTTTTACTAAGTTTAGAAAATCCAGATGACCATTCTTAACCAATCTTGAAATTTAGTCTTTATTTATGTGGCTAAGTTTAAAATGCCACAAGCAACTAGGGTTAATGATTTCATATGTTCTTTCCATGGTAACGATGGCTGTAATTTGTTCAGTTACATTAGATTCTAAGGAAAGATGTAGTATATAGAGATCATTTTCTATTTATCCAATAACAATAATTTTATTATTCAACTTAATAGTAATCTTATTACCAAAAAGACAAGAATATCCATCACTACTAAGTTCAGAAACAAAAATCAAAATTCTTCTTAATTATGGAATGGAAAGACAATCTTTTAAAACTAAAGTTCTTCCCTAAAAACTAATTTTATTGTCCTATGGATGTAGTTGCAACATTTGTTGATGTCCCCATATAAAGTACCACCTCTCTATTACCCAACCTTTTACTTTCTTTATATCCATACACTGTGTTACACACATGAGTGGATGCACCTGAGTTGATACACTAAGAAAAAACAGAAGTGACCAACAAATAAGCCTTTATGACATGAGCTTTGATATTTCAATTGGTTTTTTCATAATGGATTCTAGGTACTATGGGTATATTCTCATCCAATATCCCGTTTGTTTATAGAAGTGACACTCGTTGGACAATTTGTCTCTCTTCTACTTTTTGTTGGGGTGCCCCTATTTCTTCTGAGGTTTCTTTTTCCCTTTCCTCTATTTCTTACCAATCTTTTTGTCTACTACTACAAGCTTGGCTATAGGCTTGTCCTTCTTAATCAGTCCCTTAGCTCTAACATGTTGTTGAGTTCTTAAAAGGCGACTTTCATCTTGTTGGTATTGTTGTTCAATACAAACTGATTAAATGAAGGGGAAAGAGAAATATGAATTGCATCAATTTTGGTCTCACTATCCAATGCAGCACCAAGAGACTCCAATTCAATTTTGCACCCAATCTTCTTCATGGTATGGTCATGCATTAGCATGCTTTCAGTCATCTTTATCATCATCAACTATTTAAGGAGTTTTTTCATGGAAGAACAACTCTGTTGCTCAAAGTATGGAGGTTCTCATTTTGTTCTGAAGTATGAAGGTTCTCGTTTTGTTCTGAAGAGATGTATTGATAGGTGCGATGATGTAACATTTTGCAAGAGAATTTCTATATATTTTACCAGTTTTGGTAATGCTTTTTCTTTTATGCACAGTAGCATCCTCTCTAGGATCTTCAGGAGTTTCCTTAGTTATAAGGAATTATTGCATGACTTATTTTTTTATTTCAATAGAGGAGTTATATTTTTCTTTATCACGCTGGTTAAACATAATTAGTATATATTTTGAGCTTATGAGCAACACTTTGGTCTATAGTAGGATTATCCTTTTATGTATTTATCTCCTTGGTTGAATTTAATTTTTAGGTTGCAAGTTTTACCTAAAATAAATCAAAGTTATATTTGTTAATTTACATTTGAAATATTTCGTTATGTTAATTTTAAAAACTTTGTTAATTAGAATCGAATATGGAGAAACAATAAAAATATACACCATAATGTTTACTACACCATAAATAGGTTTCAAAATATTTGTGTTACAAATAGTTTAATGTTTAAGCATATGTATCGTTTTTTTTGTGCAGATATTTCAATGGAAGGACATTGGTGTTGCTATTTTTCCTGGGGTTATCAGCCTTGTATCTGGGTTGTTCCTATGGGTGACCACATTAAATCCACTAAGAAGGAAATATTTTGAATTGTTCTTCTATACCCATCAATTGTATATTGTTTTTGTTGTCTTCTTGGCTTTGCATGTTGGAGATTTTATTTTTTGCATAGTTGCTGGAGGGATATTCTTGTTCTTGCTTGATCGCTTTTTAAGATTCTGGCAATCACGAAAGTCGGTTGACATAATTTCAGCTACATGCTTTCCATGTGGAACTGTGGAGTTAGTCCTTTCAAAACCTAAAAGTAATATAAATCATTCTTATAATACAAGCATTTTAAACCTTGGATAGTAGACTATTGTTATTAATGTATTATACATGCTCTAAGTTGTGCTTCAATATTACAGATATGAGATACAATGCTCTAAGTTTTATTTTTCTTCAAATGCGGGAATTATCTTGGCTTCAATGGCATCCTTTTAGTGTTTCTTCTAGTCCGCTAGATGGTAAATATCATCTTTCGATTCTCATAAAGGTTCTTGGGGAGTGGACAAGGAACCTAAGAGATAATATCTTGAATATTCCTGAGGGACATCAAGAAGAATTTCCCTTTCAAGCTCATTCTAAGACAATGGCTTTTGTTGAGGGCCCTTATGGGCATGAATCAGCATATCATTTGATGTATGTCTTCTTTTCTTTATATTTTATTCAACTAAATCAATTAAAGTACAAGCTATTCTTTATAGGCATAGAAATTTCTTTTGATGGATAACCTTTCTACTTAAAGACCTTTATCAAATTATTATGACTAAGGCCCCTGTGGTTATGAATTAGTATATCATTTTGGGTAATTCCTAATGTTTTAATTTAGAAATGCTATAGACCAATTCTCTTTAAATTATATAGATTGATTACTCTTTCAATTTCATTGTAAGGCATTCCTATTTTAATTCTTTAGGCCATATTCCTACATCTCACCTTATTGAAGTTTTTCTAAATCATAATAATTGGTTTGAAGTCAGAATATTTTAATTTAACAATGTCATAATAGGTAAGGAGTAGTATGTTAAAATTTTCCTTATGAATAATCGAAGCAATTAGAAGATGATGCCTATTTACATTCCTAACTACATGATCACATAAAATACTTTTAGATTTCATAGACTCCTTCACTTAATAACCCATTAGAAGACATATCCTTATTAAAAAATACATGAGCTTGTGATAATGGAATCAACTTGTAACAAAATCAAATTTTAGTGAAGCATAAGTTTTTTATATTATTTTTGACTAAATTGAAAGCCACTTAAATTAAATGAACAACAATAATTTGATTTTTCTAAAATACTATTATATTTTTAATATTTGATCTTTTTTTGAATTTTGATCATGCCATACTATTTTCTTTTGTTACATTTCTAATATAAATATCATAAAATGACTCAGCTATATTTCTTTTTCTTAGGTATGAAAACCTTATTTTAGTTGCAGGAGGCATTGGCATTTCACCATTTCTAGCAATTTTGAGGGATATTCTCCATCGTATCAAGGATCAAAATTCTTGTTTGACAAAAAGAATTGTAATTGTTTGGGCTGTTAAAAAGTCAAAGGAACTTTCACTTCTTTCTTCTATTGATGTGGAGTCAATATGTCCATCTTTCTCTAATAAGTTACAACTAGATTTTCAAACTTACATCACACAAGAGTTGGAGCCCACATTGGTATGCATAGTTGTAAAATTTCTTTAAATGCTAATTTCAATTCATTATAAAACAAAAACAATATAAACATGTTATCTTTTTCTCTTATTTGCAGGAAGAGGGTAAACTTTTACAGATCACAAAATCTCATCTCTTCCCAATGTCTAATGCGAGTAGCATTTCTGGTTTGGTTGGAACAGGAAACAACATATGGTTTGGAATCTATATTATCATATCTATAATTGGCTTTGCTCTATTGCTTGGTTTGATGGATCTATTTTATATAAAGCCTTTCAGCATAACATGTTGGTGGTTCAAAGGGCTTCTATTCGTGGTTTGTATGATTACTAGTGTTTTTGTCTTTGGAGGCCTTGTCGTCATCTCATGGCATATATGGGAAAGAAGTTCAAGCAATGAGAAATGTGTGGTTGATAAAGCAAATGGTGATGCAGAAAAGTATAATAATCCAATGGTACACTCTGATGCATGTGAAAGAAATCATTTTAGTTTAGGAAAAACTCAATATGGTCAGAGACCAAACTTCAAAGGTAAAGCTCTAATACATCTTACTTTATATGCAAGGAAATCATGATTTTTTTGACATCATATAGATACTGCTAAAATATAAGACTATGATGGAATTATAATATGATACTCTAGTTTGTAGGTGTTAAGATGATATGTTGATATAGCTAATTCTTACCTTTTGTGTTTACAAAATATGTAAATCAAAGATTTTAAACATTTGTAACTAATTGAAAAGAATAGAGTAGAGAAAACAAAACTAAGAGGGGTATAGGTCAAGTGGTAATGTTAAAAGTTATGATGAACCCGATGAAAATGTTTAACATTAATTTTATATAAGAAAATGATACAATTGTTGTTATATTTTTACCATCACTATTGGAAATATGAATTTTAAATTTGTTATTAGTATGAGAAGAACGTTAGGTTCAGTTTGGTAGGAGTACAAATACAAATATGTACTGTGCAAGTACACATAAAATAATACAAAATACAAGGTTTTGCACTCTACAAATTTGTAATTGTACTCCTTCCAAATTGAGTCTTTATTTTAGTTTAATGGCTACATATAAAGTAAAGCAACCATATTATGAAATAAGAGTAAAAGAGTATACCCACTAAAATCACAAAATAGTTATGTTTATGTTTACAAAAGTATGAAAATTATTATAAAGACCTTACAACTAGTTGATGCTACAAATTAGAGGCATGGCTACTTTGATTTTCTTATTTTTTCACACCTTTTTTTATGCCTATTCATACTTGAGTACTTTAGATACTAAACTAACCTCTTATATTCAACTAAATCTGCAATTCCATCAATATTATAAATAGAACTTTAATTCTTATTAATGTAACTTATTAATTAGTAAATTTTGTCCATTTTAAGTAAATGGATAGTTTCAACCTCACTTCATGATCATCAGTTTTCTTTTCTCCACTAGAATCATGTCTAAAACCTCTGAGTCACCATGAATTTAATATTTAAGTGTTGACCCAATATCTTAAATTGGTAGACAAATTTGTGGGGTGGTGCTTTCTTAAGAAGAAATAAAGAATATACCTACTATTTGCAACACTATTGTCTTCATAAGAAACGTGTGCATACAAAAGTAATAGAGTGCATCATAATTTCTTCCTCGAGGCACCACCCAACATCTAATTTAGAATCTTCACACCCATTGATAATAGAAGGCCTTAAGACTTCAAGTCCTTGGATTGATTCCCATTGATCCCTTAATCTTTTTTTTTTTTAATTATAACACTTTTTCATAATAGGATGACTAGCGGGGATTTTTTAAGATAAAGTTAAATAATATAAACACACAAAAGTATACAATTGTTTTATATTTTAATTTTTTAAATAATTTATAATTATTTATATTTTATATATTACTTTTAATAAGTTATTTTACACTACAAAAATAACAATAATTAATTTTAGCTAGGGTTATTCAACAAACTAATGAAAATGGCCAACCTGACCAGGTCAGCTTTCTAGTATTTCCAATCAAATTTGGTTCAACAATTTCCCAAATCGATCAAGTTGGAGTAATTTCACTTAAGCCATTTGTAAACCAACCAAAAACGGATGATCCGATCATAGATATATATTAATACTTTATTTTTAAATATAATTTATGATATAATTTTTATATCATAAATTTATTTTTTAATAATGTCAATATAATTTTTTAAACTCTATTTTAATTTTTAAGTTTAAATCTTTTGAATTGACCAACTAAACCCGAAATTAACCCAAATTGACCATTAGTGAGTTGGTTCTCATAAATGGTAAGTCGGTTTCGGGTGACCAACTCCCCAACTTGACCAGGTCAATTTGGTTGGGCAAACAACCTACAACTGAACCGAATCAACTCATGAACACTCTTAATTATAACTAAATTAATAGTCTAATCTCTAATAAATAAAAATAGTTAAATTTCCAATAATTATTGAAAAGTTATAGCAAAAAATACATAATTTTTTAAAATATATTGATAATGGAAATACAATAAATAATAAAAATATATTAAATTGGTTAATAAATAGTGTAATCTCAAATAATAGTTTAATATCCAATAATTGTATAAATATTTTTATTAAATAACAATGCATAAGTAGATTTGTCTGTAATTATTGATATATTTATCACAAAAACAATAAATAATTACTGAAAATACAACAGTATTAATTTTATTATATATAAATATATAAGGAAGATAGATTAAGATTTTAATTATTAATGAATATTATTTTTTGACAGTTATTTTCTAGAATTATTAATTGATATAAGTTGAATTAGTTATTTACAATATTATTAGTTATTTCAATAAAATAATTATTTAAAGTTCAAATATTAATTATTTATTGAATTTAATAATCCATAAAATTATAATTTATACTATTAAACATATTTACGTTATTAATTTTATAAAATATTATATTATTAATATGAATATTATGTTATAATTATTTTTCTACTTTTAAAAAAACTTTTAAATTTATTACATAATTTCATTATTTTAACTATTTAAAATCTATTTATGTTAGATATTTCGTTATTTAAAATATTTTGTTATTTGAATTTTATTTATTTTAAAGTTACTTCATAATTTTAAATATTTTGTTATATAATTATTTAGCCATTTTGAACATTTTTTGTTTAAGATATTTAGTTATTGAAATATTTAAGTAGTATTTCATTTTTTTAATTTTAAATTTTTATTATTTGAATATCATTTAAATTGAATAATCCAGAAAATCATAAAATAAAAATTTATATTGTTAGTACATAATTCCACGATGAATTTTATAAAAATACGAAATTATTAATAATGTGAATATTATTAGATCTATTATAATTATTTTTTTGTGTTTTTATAAATATTTTAAAGTTATTATCTAATATTGTTAGAGTATTTAAATAATTCTTAAATTTTTTAATTCAAAATTTCTTTAAATAGATATAGATAAATATTGGGGGTGAGGATAAATAAGAATTAGAGATAATTTAAATAGATGTAGTCTCATATATAATACTAATATGAACTAAGGGGGATTCAATGGAATAACCTAATGACACATGAAATTAATGTTCTTTTCTCCATAACAAAATATGTACAATGCATCAGTTAAATCTAAGGGCATACACTTTGCCTAACACCGACTACTTGATGCACTTAAGTTTTTGGTTATTAAGGATAATCACATACCACTTTTCATTACTTCACTATTGGCTAAAGCTAGTACGACACCAACATCGGCTATCATAGGTAATTGACCATTGTCTTGTAGACAGTCCGTTATAGGATATGAACAAACTTCCAAAACTTTAACTATTGGCAGATAGAGTTAGGAAATCAACTCTTAGTCTTCCATACATATAAAATTTACATTTTAGCTTAGATAAAGTTTAGAAAAAACCTTATTTCCACCTAAAACTAATTTAACCATTGGTTTCTAAGGTTTTGGTAAAGTCAAGGCCAGTGACAACTAAGCCTAGTTTTGAGCATATTGCAAATGATTACATCAAATGCTAATATATAAAACATATAAAAATTACTAAAGCTTAATGCTTTACTCTTCTTTATATTGTCATGTAACTTATTATTCTTGTTTTCTTATTCTGGAGAGAATTCATCCCATCAATTGGCTCATTTATTCTTTTGTATCTCAGACTAATTTTTACTTCATAAGTATTATTGGGTTCAATTTAAGAATCTTCTTATTGTAACTACACACTTATCTTTTAATATTATTAGTACTCTCAATGTGTTTGTTATCATGAAAACACATAGGGTGAACAACCACACCCTATAGAGATTACACTATAAATATCCCCTTAAGGTGAATAAAATAAAGAACTTGAAAATTATTAATTTAAGAATTCATTTCATAATTAAATTAAATATGTCATTATAATAATAATTGCCTTCAACCTACATATAAATGTGTATATTATTTCTTAGAAATTTCATTTTTTTCATGTGTAAATATGTAGTTTAATGAATAATGTAACATTTAATAGAAAAACACTAGTTATGTAACATTATTAATGTTGATTATTGAGTTGATATATAAATTGCTTATGGATATTGTGGCACAACCAATATTGCATTTTACACTCATTATAAAATTAAAAGTTGTACTACTGATATCTCAATGATCTTAATGACATTTATATTTGTTCCAATTGTAGATATATGAAAGCCATAAGGTTAAATTTTGTAAAGTTATTAAACTAAGCATCTCTTAATTATTTAGTTTGATAGTGTTATAATAACCAATAATGAAGTATATTTATGACTTAGTCCAACATCCTAGGCATTTACTTCTATTAATATATTAATTCATAAAGGCAATATATCTATATACTTCTTTTCCGCTAAATCTTGATATGGGCTTTTGACTTCGAAACATTTAAGTATTGGTGTGTTTACCAAATTACATTCTTTATTCAATTTTCCCAATGTATTAGACCTTATATACATCCAATCATACAGGTGGCATTATTTTTACAATTCCGTGGTTGTTTATCTTCTATTTTATATTATATATGCCTCCTAATTCTTTTAATTTCACATATGTCCCTTAATTATTATATTATATTTAATACTTCTTAATATATATATATATATATTTAAGATTATGATTTTGTAACATTACATAGCTTCTTTTTTTTTATCTAAAGCCATAATAAGTTACATCTAACATCCACTTTAGATAGCCCCTTAAAATATTTTGGGTTCTTATCTTGTTTTATATCATTTCATATTCAATTATTTTGTTACCTTTATGGATAATTGTTGATAAATGACAATATTATATCTAATGAAATATGTATATATTTATATTTCATTTTGAAATCACTTTTATAGAAAGAAAAACTCATTTCCATTCCACACAAAGAAACACGTTAATCACATGCTTTATGGGTGCATATAATTTTAGTAATTGAACTCCTCCTTACCCACTTTCTTACCCTAAAAAGAAAAGAGGGGAAAAGTTAATTAGATTATTATATTAAACATTGTGCATGTCAATACTTAGAGAACAACACTCTAGGTATTTTTTTTTATATTTACATAATCCTCCATGTACAATTATTTTTACACTAAAAGACCTTTCTTATTTGATGTTCAGAAATTTTTGGATCCATTTCAAAATGTTGGGGTCATGTTGATGTGGGTGTCATTGTCTGTGGGCCTCCAAATCTTCTATCAAGCGTTGCCAAAGAGTGTAGATCACAAAACATTAGAGGAGAATGGAATCGGCCGTTCTTCCATTTCCACACCCACAGTTTCGACTTATAGATGATGTCAATGGTTATTGGCATTTTGGAGAATATGGACATACAAACCTGAGAATCATCACTGTGTATATATATGCATAGTCGTAAGACATAAAATTAAATCTGTATACCCCTTAACTATTAACTTATCACATACCTCAATTTATGTATGATATTTTCCATAGGTTTTTGTAATATATTAACAGCATGTGCATCATGTTTTAAAACTTTGGGAGGGTCATTGCATAGTACAATCATAAAACATTTGGATTTCAGACATGAGACTGTGGGCTTTTTTAAAAAGATGTTAGATGGTAACTAATACCAACAATATTGCTATATCTTGGAGAGAAAATGAGATCAAAATGGGTTGTCTTTCATTGCAAGGAAGAGAAATGGGTCAAAAGGGTTATGATTTTTTGAGAAAATCTAGCTATAGATATGGTTACAATTAATTTAATTGTGAGGATAAATACAACAAAATTATCTATTTACATTATCATATAACTAATTGAGAACTATCAGTGTGTATTAGTCCGGGATATGATGAGCTTTGCACTAGAATGTGGGCCTTGACCTGAGTCATCCCCACTTAAGGGTGCAATAGGGGAGAATGAATCATAAGCTTGCGATGAAGGACACTGACTTCACAAGATATCTATTGGTTGATCGTAGGACTTAATGAAGAAAATAACAAAGAACTTCGCAGCTACCTTTTCCCTTGTGAAATGATAATTAGGGGCAATATGCTTAGTTTCAATACCAAAAGGCTAAGGAGAAAGGCACCAGAGATAGGGAAGCTCAACACTCAAAGGAATCCACCTAAGAATTAAGAGCAATGCTTAAATTACTTAAAGCTCAACACTCTTAAGAAATCCCCTAAAGAGATAAAAGAAGAACTCCTAGGAAAACCAGTGGCTCAATTATATTCAAACTTAAATTTTGAATTGTTGGATTTACAAGATTGGAGGGTTTTATATAGACTTGCTCAGAATGACCCCTCAAGCTAAATAACTACTAAGCATTTACCTACAGTGAACCATAATAATAAAGTCTATTAACTACTCTAAAAAACTCAATATTGGGAAGTAGGAAAGGCATAGAGAACTTAATTAAGGGATAAGGAATTAATGCACTTTCGAAATCCCACAATGCACGGTTGTAATGCCTTATTAATGGCAAGATGTTCCCAATGCATGGTTGCAATGTGTTATGGGGTTGGTGTGGGGAGTCTTCTATGAGGAGCAAATCTGGTCACCAACACAGCACCCCTCTATAAAAATGGACATATTTCCACTAAGATAACTCTAAATTGAGTTTTGTTTAAGGCATTAGAAATTAGATTTATAAAAATTTTCCTCTAGATATATGAATGATGCAACTTTGGTTGTGATACTCTTGCATGATTGATTCTGAAATTAAACCAAAAATCTGTGATTGTACTTTTTGCCATATGGACCCTATAATCAAATTCAAAGTTGGATGAGTTTCTATTTTATGTCTGTTGACACTCCTGCATCAAGTTCTACAATGGTAAAGAGGGTTAATAGAGAGAAATGTTGTGGCAATATTATCACACCATATAGCCAGTGTAGAAAAGAGAGAAATCCCAAGCTCTCACAATAACATATTAACCTAAGACAATTTAGCAGTAGCACAAGCAAGGCGTTGCATAAAATCCAAATTCACCAATTCAAATGGCATAAAAATCAATCAAAACATGGATAATGAGATGAAAACTAGAGCATACAACAATTCGTATGGTGTGAGTATTTGGAAAATGCCCACTTGGGATAAATTTAGAGTCGTCACCCATCAATTAGGAAAAAGTAGGTGATGGGCCCGCCAATTATTTGAGTTAAATAGATTTAATTTTGATAGTGACTCTATAAAAGACAAGGGTCTAAACCAGCCTCGGTAGGCTTCAATTGGGAAGAGGGAAGGACTTAAGCGCCCCTCTCCTATTTCTAATAAATGGGGCCAAAGTCATACTAGGGAACCCAAGAGCAAATACATGCAAGTGTTCCATTGACCAACATTATCTAATAAAATGAAATAAAAGTGCAAATTAAGTGGATAGAAAGCAATGGATCATACTCTATTTAAAACACAAAAAAATGAGGACGGAAGAGTTATTCTATCAATGACATGATGGTAGATTGAATCATCAGATGGTACAATAAAGTAATGGATGAGGGTTAAGGCCAAGTTTCGAAGTGCTTATTTGAATAAAAGCTTATTTTGGGCCGGGATCACACCATTAAACATTTATTAATGTTTGGGATAAGTTATAAATAAGTGTTTATTTTAAAAATAAAATCTTAAAAAAGAAGTGCAAGTTTTGAATTTTTTTAAGTGCTTAAACAATAAGCACTTATTTGAATTTTCTCTATCAAAACTGTCCCCGTTTATTTTTGAAATTTCCAATTATACCCTTCAAAGGTAAGAACTCTCTCTAGATCTCTCTATTTCTTCTTTTCTCGGTCTCTCTGAAATTCCATAGCCTTGAGGATGTCTTGGCTTTCAAGTTCACTCCCAAATCCCTTCAATTTGTAGGAATCGGATGAAGAGGATTCAGTAAATAAAGAAAAAAAAAAAGGTTGCATGAGAAGAAAAAGAGGAGCTCTTCTCATGTAGGGGGAGTGAAAGAGAACTTATCAGAGCTTGGCAAAACCATTGGCTGACAGCTATGGGGTGTGGCGTGCTTCCTCGCTCCTCCGCCAGTTACCAACTCTTTCTCAGCATTCGTAATGGTTTTGGAAAAATCAGTGGTAGCTTCAGATCAGGGCTTTCTATTCTCTCTACCAATAAGGTTGTTAATGAGATTAGCCTTGAATCAGTTAGAGTTTAAAGGAAGATGAAGAGGGCGGAGATGGAGATGAGTCTTTTGGAGAGGATCATGGAGGTGGTGATGGTGGTGGCATTGTTGGGGTTATGGATGAGGATTTGCAGTTTGCTCAAGAGGTGTCCATGAGACCAGAATTCTGTGTTGATTTCCCATTGTCAATGAGTATCGATAATCAAATTATGTCCTGTTTGTTCTTTTACGGAATTCAATTAACAGTTGCTTTTATACTGGTTCAGCTATGTGCTTTTTCTGTTGTTTTAATTAGTGGGTTCTTTAATTATTATCACTATCATTATTACAGTTAAAGATTCAGATTTTTGAGAATTGAGATATTGAAAGCGGCACAGCGATGTTGCATATCTTGTTCGAGCGATTGGCGATATCAATTCACCATTAATGATGAGCCCGACCTCCCTTTCTTTTCCATCCTCCACAACTGCTTCTGCTGTGTCGGGTTGAAGCTGTTGACATCAGATAATTTTTTGAGAATTTATGGTATATTTTAAAAATTAAAAAAAAAATGAAAGATAAAATGGTTATAAGTTCTTATCGAAGAAAAAGATCACCAAACACCTAATATAAAATAAGTGTTTTTTTTTAAATAGATATTTCAAAGAGTTGGATGTCAAATGCAAATACGTGCTTATTCAAATAATCATTTATTTTTACATACTTATTTTTAACATAAACCCTCCCAAACATGGACTAAGCATATGCGCTTTTGCATAATTCAGAATATATTGAGTAAAAATTTAAAAATACCCAATTTACCCTTGTGATATGGCAATCGTAGAACTCGTTTTCATTCTCTTCCTAGTTTTTTTCTTCGTTCTCTCCGATCCTTTGGTAAATCTGATACGATTGAATCTTTCGATCCCTCGATTTCAACTGTTCTTTGTTTTATATTATTTCTATTCGCTTTTAGGTTTTGGTTTTCAAAGGCATGGAGAATTCTAGGGAAGGTTGCGATGGAGCAAAGAAGAACGAAGAAAGCCCTAATTCTGTAACAGAAGCTGAGACCGAATCAAATTTGGCTCCATCTCGACAGACTTTAAGGACGCCGTTCACGAGCCACAACCAGGTCGATGCAGACCTCGCACTCGCTATGACCCTACAACAACAGGTATGGTCGACTCTTTTATTTATTTATTTTGTCTTAATCAGAATCCGAATTTTTTTTTTTTTGAGGGTTTACTTATATTCATCGCCTCTCTTCATTCTTTTAGTGGTTTGATTGCAAGTTATCTTTTAATTAATGGTTATTTGTTTTGGTTTGTTATCGATTGTCTCTGGAACTCATTTGGATATGATATAGGAACGGGCATATATGATGCTGAGAATGAATAGTGGTGAAGGGAGTGATTATATAAACTTGTATTCTCTCTCTCCTTTTTCTGATTTATTTTAAAAATTTGAAAATGAATAAAAGGTAAAATAATCTTTTTGTTTTCTTAATAATAAAAAAAGTATTAGTGAATTGTCAGAAACAATAGGAATAGTATTAATCAATTTTCAAACAATAAGGTATAATTAATCAATACATAACTAAATCCAAGAAGAATGAAACGAAAGAATGAGTGGTTAATTTAAGTTAATAACTTACATAATTAATGAATGGATTAATAAATGAAAGAAAATGACTTATTGATCTATTCTAATGGTTTGTATTAAATAAATGAAAATAATAGTCATAGAGATAATGAATTTACGAAAATAATTTACAAATAATAAAGTGAGGGGTATCAGATAAAAGATAAAAAATAAAAAGAAATTGGGCCAATTGATTTCTGCTAATAATTTATGAAACTTATGAAAAGTAAATAAGATGTGTATCAATATATAAGAAATCTAAGAAAAACAGGATAAACATTAAAAAAAATAGAAGAGAACACAACAATTACCAACTACATTCCTTTCTTACCTATGTTATATGTTAGTCAAGATTTACCACGTGACAACACGTGAAACACAAGAAGGCAAAACACATTAGCCTAATGAAATGGTAGGAAACAAAGGTGAATCATCTTTAATTTGACTTGATATTAATCAAGACTAAACATACGGACAGCTTATTAATTGGAGCAAATATATTATAGAAGAAAGATCTTATTGAGATCTATTCACCCAAACTAATCTATGAACTTGTAAGACATCCTGGCTAGACTAAATTGTAAAATAAAATTAAAGGATAAAGCTTGTACTTGATATTAAAACAAAAATGGCCTCTCTCTCTCTTAGCTTGCTACTTCAACACCCCTATTTTCTTAAAATCTCTCTCTCTCTCTCTTCACCTAAATCATCTCTTTTCGTAAAATTTCTCTTAAATTTCCCGCCACTTAAAACGTCTCC